ACACGTTTTTGGGGGGTCTAGGACTTAATTTTCAGAACTTTTGACACCATTGGAGGGCTGGAGAAAGCACGAAACACACGAGGGATTCGAGGAAGTCAAGATTGAATATCCGGGAACTAACGGCAACAATAGTTCTTCTTTCTTTTCTCTTTTTCTTCTTCATTGAACTCATGGATTTATTTATTTTGAGTATTGAGAATATGTTTAGTAGCTAAATCTCTTTGAGATTCTAGGATTTGCGAGTACTCGGATTATTTTATGAAGTGATCTTGTTTATTCATTCCGTTCTATCTTTTGTTTATCAGTTTCTTGTGATTATATGAATTGTGTGAATATAGGACCCGTATTTATGCATATTTGTGATTGACTTGAGACCGAGAGGAGATAGTTAATTGCTAGAATTGGGAAATTCATAACGTAAGAGACTAAACAGACCGAGAGGTTGATAGAATCTTGCGAGGGAACTAGAATCTTAGGAGCTTATGGGAGTTAGTTGTTCATCTTGAGACCGAGAGGAGATAGATAACAATTAATATCTACGATTTAACTTGTTCGAGAGAAAGGTGTAAATTACTTTAGCGATTATCCCTACGATTGGTAGAATTAAATAAGGTTTGAATGAATAAGAAAACTTCGCTAGAATAATCCCGAGGATAGCATTGCCTAGAATCTATTTTCTCATACTTGATTTATTTAGAATAAGCCTTCATTAGTGTTAGAATTTATTTTTGCATTCATTCATCAGTTTAGAATAAAAACTCCAATCGAATTTGCATTAGTCTAGATAATATTTAATCGTCGATATTTTGGTACTTAATTGGTTTAAACAACAGTCTCTGTGGAATACGACCTTGCTCGCCGCTTTCTGCAGCTACTCCGTACACTTGCGGGTAGTGAAAATATTTTGCGAACACACGTCTGTAATACCTGTTTTTTCACTCACATAATAAATTACATAATATTTTAGATATCTTTTAAACATTTTATACATTAATTAGCATCTACATCTTTAGGTATTATTAGACATTTTGTCTTTACAAAATATTTAAATAGAAGTTTAGGTGACTTCACATTTTTTAAGAATAATGTAGAATATTTTACATATCTTTACATATGTTATATAATTTGAAATATTTTAAACATACATGTTTTATTTCCTTTATACAAGATATTTTTATATTGTTTATACAACAAACTGATATACGTAAATTATATCACATGTTAACTCCAAATATTTAATTATATATATCATGTAATATTATTTACCTGCACCTTTAATTTATATTTATTATTTAATATTATTTACCCGTACATCGCACGGGTTACGCACTAGTGAGAAAGAAATGAAACAACTTTTTCCCATTGATGTGTTTGGTACACAGAAAGAATTCCACATTATCATTTATGACTATTTTTTATAACAGAAAAAAGTGAATTGTGTATTCATATAAATATTAACTAATACAAATATATCATTATATAAATCTCTAAAAGTATATGTGGTCGAATGTAACTTTTTATATTATTCTTGAATTTATGAATAAATATATAATATATATGGTGTGTAAAAGTATAATAATATCTTTTTATATTTATAAAATACATTTTTTATTTTATTTTTATATCAGTATCAATATATATAATTAAAATATGGACAATAAATAAAAGGAGAAGTTTTTTAATTTTTTTATTTGAATTTTATTTTTTAAAAAATTGATTCCTACAAACATGGGAACGAGAAAACATTGTATGAGCTATGCAATGACTAATTCTATAGAGATGAGTTTTGCAATTTCGAGTCATTCATTTTTTAAAAAATATATACCAAACATAGGATAAAAATGAGTAATGGAATGTCGCTAATTTCATTATCAGGTCATTCTCTTATACCAATCATGTTATGTTCGCTTGCTCTCATATTCCAAATTATGACTTTTCAAACTTTTATACATCTCATACATTTATTTTGATAAAACCTTACATTACAAAATAAAAAGAAACATTATATATTATACAAGAGTGAGAAAATAAAAAGTTACTCACAAAAAAGTATAATAAAATAAACCAATGCAATAATTAAATATCAAATTATGTGTTTGTGGATATGTATAATTTCAATATGATTACAAAAGAATATGATTACAAAGAGTAAATAAAATTACTTATTTGAGAATATGCTTATTTTATTTTTTTTACAAAGAAGGAGGCAAAACTTAAAACCATCAAATAGGTACGGGCCGTGGATAGGCTACGCCAATAAAGTCGTGCTGTAATTACGGGCGAACTATTAATAATGGGTCAAATAAACGTTGATATCCCCCAGGATAACTATGAACAAGATTCGCCAAGCACTCAGCAGCAAAGTTGACCCGGCTATCCCCGAAAATGCCTGCTCATACGTCAGTGCTTAGGCCTTAAAATTGGAAAATTCGAATGTGTAAGTCAATAGTGGGAGCACAGGATCGTCTAATCTAATCCACTGAAAATTCAAAACAAACATAACATTGCCATGGACGTACATATCATTTCGGTGGACACAATCAAGCCATCTTCCCCAGCTCCAAACCACCTCACAGACGTGAAGCTCTGCTCACTCGACCACCTCATTCCAGCCGATTACGCCCCCGTCATCTTCTTTTACCCCGATCAAAATAACTCCAAACTTCTCCACAACTTGCCCCTCCTCAAACAATCGCTATCCCAAACTCTTTCGCGGTTTTCCCCGCTTGCGGGCACCATCAAAGACGATCTCTCGATCGTCTGTGACGATCGAGGCGCGCGTTTTGTCACGGCAAAGGCCGAGAATCTCCTCCTAGGCGATTTTCTCGAGAGCCCGGATCTTAAGGTTATTGCCAAGCTTCTCCCCTGTGGGCCTGTTCGGAAATCGGCAGATTGTGTCGCCAATATACAGGTGACCGAGTTCGAATGTGGCGGCGTTTCGATCGGAGTTTGCGTATCGCACAAGATTCTCGATGGGGTCGGTTTGAGCACTTTTTTGAGAAGTTGGGCATGTTCGGCTAGCTCGCCTGAGGAGAAAAACCCCGCCAGGCCTGATCTTTCTGCACCTTCGATTTTTCCGGCTGCTGACGTGTCGCTAAGAGATTCGTCTATGGCCATGTGGGGTTCTTTGATGAGGGAGGGCCGGTTTGTGACCAGGAGGTTCGTGTTTGATGGGTCGAGAATCGAGATTCTCAAGGAACTTGCAGCTGCTGGGTCGACCCGTGATCGCCCCACACGAATCGAGGCCGTCTCTGGATTCATATGGAAATGTGCGGCTGCGGCTTCTGAAGAGAGGTTTGGGCACAAAAGGCCTTCTTTCGTTACTCATTTGGTAAATTTACGCAAAAGAGCATCTCCGAATCTGCCGCAAGAGTCCTTCGGGAATCTTCTTTGGTTGGCGAGTGCGCAAAATACTCGCGTCGTGAATGAAAACGTTGAGTTTTCTGAATTGGTGGGTGAAGTGAGGAAAAGTATATCGAGAATCGATGGAGATTTCGTCAAGGAAATGCAATGTGGTGAGGGATTGAAGTTTATGCGGACATGTCTTGAGGAGATTAGAAAACTTGGGAGTGAGGATCATGTGGATCATTATGGTTTTAGCAGCTGGTGTAAGCTGGGTTTTTATGATGTTGATTTTGGGTGGGGAAGGCCTGTTTGGGTGAGCAGCATTGATGCAAGTGGTCCATTTTTTATGAATCTGATTATTTTGGTTGATAGGAGGTTTGATGATGGGATAGAAGCTTGGGTGACTTTGGATGAAGAAGAGATGGCTATTTTAGAAGGTAATCAAGAACTTAAAGATTTTGTCTCTTTCAATCCAAGCCCTTTGTATGTTACCAATGTTGGAGCCTAGTGTTCAAGAGGATGAAATTCTTGCCATACGAATAGCAAGTTTTTGCTCATAACATCTTGAGCGGCAAGGATAATTCATAATTATGATATAGATGAGTTTCAATGTTTGCTTTTGAGAATGTTATGGATGAGAACATTTAATTCTGTTAGTTATTGGGTGACTTTTATGAGTATAGCAGTGTTTTCATCTTTGTTGTTGTGTAGTCTAATAGGCACAAGATTCCCCTTCTAACTTTATAAATTTCAGTGTTTTCACTTCCTTGGACTTACAACACAGCTAGGGGTGGGTGTTTCCGGCAATAGACCTCTAATGTTCAAGTCAGATTTTGAAATGTGGGAAAGGTGATAATTGTGTAAGTATTGAAAAACCATAGGGAAAAGAAGACCCACCCTCCCACACCTAAGACCCTTTTATAGTAGAGTTTTACTTTGTTGCCCAAGATCTGTCCAATCTTGTTGCCCATGTACTCTTGCTGCACACGGTCTAAAAAATTATCCTTGTTGCCCAAGATCTACCCGAGATTTATTCTATTTTAACTCCAAGTACGTTCAGAATCTTCCTGAAAAATTTTCTAGGTCATCTGTAAAATTAGTCCCATTATTTACCTTCAAGGTATTGTATATCTTAGGTTAGTAATCCATCTTGACACCTGTTTTATATACATGATCTCCAGAGCTTTTATTCCTGGCCCTGGCTGTAAGGTTCCTAGGTTGTGTCGAGACGCTCCCAGAGGCCAACCATAGTTTTACAAGCTATTCAACTTTCCTTACATCCTTACTGAGCTATAAGGTCCTAAACCATCATGCTCGAGCTTTTGGACTCTTAGAGCATCATAACCAAGCTCACAACCACCTACCCGAGTTGTTAAGTGTATTGGTCGTCCTCATCGAGCTGCAAACTCACGACCACTTACTCGAGCTGGTTCCTTGAGACCGATTTATTGATCTAACTACTTAAAGCCAGTCTGTCGAGCTATTCTAGTTGTAATATCATGTATGTCCCTATTATCAAACGAGCTATTATTCGTAGAGCTATATAGATTTATTTGATAAGATTAAAATATTGTTCCCCTTTATCAGTCATTAATTGTGACATGATTGGCATGCCTCGTCTACCTCACCTGTCATTTCACCTGCCACATCTGTCAGAGACGCCTCGCCTCGTCTTTCTCACCTCATTTTTCATCTTGGTCGTTCATTTTTCTCCCATCCTACGATGATCCTTGTACGACCTTCACTATAAAACACCTATTTACATAATAATCATTATTGCTGAAACTTCCACAATTTTCTTATCATATGTTGCTTCTCTCTAAATCTTTAGCAATCCTGAAATCTGCACCCCAGCGAAGTTCCAATCATCCCCTTCCTCTAGCCGTCATCCCCTTCTAGAGTAGTGAGTAAAACTTACGTGGGATTTATACCTTTTGTCACGGAGACAAAATGTCCATCTCAATGACACTTAGAATTCGTCACCAAATATCTAGAGTGATGAAATAATACACCTTGGTGACGATTTGTGACAATTTCTTTCTGTCAGTTTTTGGTGTATTTCTTGTAGTGATATAGCATGGAGTAAAAATTGTGGTTGTGTATGAATTGTCATATTTATTCATAGTCATAAAGTATGCTTAATCGGCCTAATATACAACATCTGAATATTTGGACAAAATTATTGGTTTTTTTTTTTTTTTGGGTACAAGAGAGGAGGCAAAAGTCTAGGACCCTGCGGGTAAGAAATGCCGATTGAGGTCATGCTATATCCATGGTTTAATGACCGATGGTGTGTCTAATAAACGTTGACAACCACTAGGGCATTGATGCGCTAGAGTCTCCAAACAGTCTGCTGCAAAGTTAGTTTCTCTATAGCAATGGGTCACTCAAGCCTCCTAGTCCCGGTTAAGAAACTCCCGGATGTCACGAACCATGCTACCATAAACTCCAAGGTTCTCCGGTAAACCCCCATTCTCCATTGACACCACGCTCTTATTGTCTACTTCGACAAGAATCTTTCAATAGCCCAACTCCCATACTAGTAACAGACTTTGGAAGAGGCCCCACAACTCTGCTCCTGTGATAGAACAAAAACTGATATTCATCACAAAATCCCCAAGCCATCTTCCATCCGTATCGCGAATCAAACCCCCGACCAACGCCATTCCAGACAAAGTCAAAAGGGATCTGTCCGTATTGATTTTAATGACTCCAACCTCAGGGGATTCCCAACGAATAAAATGGACTTCACGTTGCTCGTCGAGGCCGCCCAAATGTTGTTAGTCGAGGTGACTAGTTTGATTCCTCGAACAAATGAGCAAACCTCCTGAATTTTATTAGCCAACAACGAACTCCTTATCTGAGAAAATCTTTTCATTTCTTCATTTCAAGATCTGCCACACGGTGACACCAAAAACAGTTTGCCAACCAACGACTCCAATGGCTAGCCCATTTTGCAGGTTTTGGATCAACCAATCCCATAACTGCATGTGAAAAAACTCAGAATAATGGTTGCCCAACCTATTTTATAGGATTTGGATCAACCAATCCCGTAACGTCATGTGAAAAAACTCAAAATAATGGTTGGCAGGGATCAAGCTTTGCCAAACCTGCTTTTCTCAGTGATGTTCTCTTGACGCATATAGGATTAGTTTTTATCCAATATGCTTTTTCCTCAATGTTAATAATAAATTAAAAATGAATTTAAGGCTTTTATTTTCCGAATAATCATAATATTTTACTCTTGACTGTTTTTGAACAGCCCCTTCAGTTTATTGAATTAAACTTGTGGTTCCATGTGATGTGAAGTTAGGAAAAAGAATGTACATACACAGAGATGTGTTGGATTTTCGACGTAAGAACCTAATATACGCGCATCGGAATTTTAAAAATTTTCTAGCCAACAACGAAGTTCCGGCTATAGCTAGTCGATCCCAGATCGCGTGATTAATCAAAAAAAACTTACCGTTGTTCGTCTATGTCCTCGACTATGGTATCCACGCAATCCAGTTTCTCGATACACGATCCAACGCCAACGAATCCTCTCCGGTGAAGAAGCTAGGAATCCTCGGTCCAGTAAGCTAGAGAGTATTTTGATCTTGATCCCTAGATCTCTAAGATTTTTGATCTCTCAAGGTGTTTCTCTCTTTTTATCGTTCCATCGATTATTGATTATGAAGAGATAATGAGATATTTATAATTAGGTCAAACCCAATTATATGGGCTTTAGGATACCCTATAGCCCATTAGGTAATTGGACATAATCCTATTAATATTTTAATTAAGTATAAAAATCAAATTTAACTTATTTAAATATTTTTTATCAAATAGAAAATTATCTCATTACTAATTAAGTATAAATCCAATTTAACTTTGTTGTTATGTGAAAATTAACAACCACAATGTAACGTAATTAAAGCAGGGACAATCAAAGTTTTGTATTATTTTTGTATTTTTGTTGGGTACAAGAAGTCGGTTTTAACATAAATCGAGTTGATGTTCCTTATTCGTAATAAGAAAACGTTTATTGAAAATTGTTGGATCCTCGTTACAATAATGAATTTTGCTATTTATAGGCGCAAATGCTTTGAGTTTTAGTACGAGATAGACATGATCGCATTTAATGCGATATGCCTTTTTAAAGCGGTCTGCAAATTGTTGAGGAGGCCGTAATGATTGCACTTTTGTTCTCGGTCCAATCAAAATGTGCTTAGTCACCTGCTTTGGAGTTTGGTCACGTCGGTTCTCAGTTTATGAGCAAGGAATCCGGAAACCTTTGAGAGGTCGGTTGTTTATAACTTTTTCTGGAAGTCGGTCCGTCCATTTGCTGCTAACCGAGGTGTATCATTTTCCGAGGTGACTTGTGTTTGGTGTAGGGACGAATTCGACGTAGTACTTCTAATTACTCTCGCTTTAGGACACGATTCAAGTCAGTTATCAACAAACTTAATTAAATATTTTCCATCAAATAGAAAATAATCTCATTACTCATAAATAAATATTTCAATCTAATTGAATATTTAATACTCTCAATTTACTCTTAGTCGGAAAACTGATTGCATATTGTGCGACCCTATAGGCCTTCATATATTGACATAAATCTAATTTATAATCCTTACGGAACTCCTAGACTACGTCGAAGGACGAACTCAAAATATATATGATGTACGTTTACATGGACAAACAAACAAACCTTTAGTGTAGAACTCAATAGTGATACGGTCCCTTCATTCACGAACCACTCGATTAAGCTTAGGACTTGAATGTGTGTCTATCCAAACAGCTTAATCATTTTATCTCATCTTACTGGTTGATTTTAATTAATTATATTTGAACATCATTTTAAACATAGTCACGTGCATTGACCAATGACTTTATCAACCCAGTATAGAGAAAACGAGTGTTCTCTCGAAACTATATTCGAGGAATGAATCTTATCTTAGCTCAACTACTAATTTCATGTATATCGTGATCTACCCAACACAAGTTCGTTTACCCATAAGGGCGTAAGCGTTGGACTAGGTCTAAGTAAATCACTATATACATGAATTGCGTATTGACCTCAAGTCAAAGGACTATTACACCGTTCCACACACCGATACTCCCATAGACACATAAACAAACGGTTTATCGATAGGCTATGTCAATACTCTCAAAAGTATTTATGTGTCCATCAATAATAACAATTATTCATAGCAATGAGACATACTTTATCCTCTAAGAATATGATGCAGACCACATGTCAAATTTATGACGTATCATTAATATCCCTTTCTTAGTGATCATCGATTGAGGTGATTTGAGAGTTATACTTTATCAATTAACATCTGATCACTCTGTTAATGACAATATCAACTCAAGGGAACAATTAATTAATCAATTGCAAACAATCAAAAAATTATTTAATTAATTGCAATACCATAATTATAATCCAATATAATTATTAATGTGATCATGTATATATGTCCTCAAAAAAATTGTCTCTAGCACACATAAAAAGTTAAAAACCATAAGAACTTTATGTATAATTGAAACTGATCAAGATACAATACAAAGACATACATTATTACTTAGAATAACACCGGATGCATATTCGAGACACAGCAGTAATTACATCAAAACCGAATATCTATATATATAATTGCTAGCTAATCATTTAATAAAACTTAATAAATAAAACATATTTAATTTTACCTAATAAATTATACTTAATAAATACTACAACCTTCCATATACAAATGAACGTTACTTTTACAATTAAGGATTATTATTGTACAATTATAAATTGTAACGTTTCACTCTTTTAAATGGTGTTTTCATCTTTTTATTTCCTTTTATGACATCTAATAAAAACTAATTAAAATTTAAAACAATCTATATATATAATAGGGATTATCACATCAATAAATATTTGCATATTCCACTCTTTTTTTTTTATTTTTACATTAGTAGCTTCGTTTTTACTTAATATGCAAGCATACTAATGTTGAAATTAATTGTTACGGTTTTATCCGCTCATGTAATAATTCATACTTTTATTCTATATATTTTTAAAATAGAACAATTACAAATTATTCCACAAAACCATGTGGGTATAATACAAAAATAGAAAATAAAAATAAAACAATCATTCTTATAAATGACAATTTATTGTTGCATAAGAACGTGTTTAATTTTTTAAAAAATGCATTCGTTTAAATAAAATTCATAGCCTCAAATAGTTGTAGTGTTTAATTTTTAGAAAATGCATTCGTTTAAATAAAATTCATAGCCTCAAATATTAGTAGTAGTAATGATAATAAATGTATTTTAAATAAATATCATACCTGTTATGATTATATTTATATTCCTATATATATAACTACTGAAAAAGAATTTATTGCAAAAATAAAATCAGCGCCTTTTATTCAACTAATTGTAAAAAAAAAAATTGTTACA